CACACACACACACACACATTTGTAAATGATGAAGCCAAAAGGTAACATTTAAGGCTCTCTTTTAGCCATTTTGAAGCAATGTATTTTTTTTTTAAAAAAATTGATATGATTTGCAGTGGGAGACTTAGCTTTATTTATATTCATAAGTCTTTCATCACATGGTATTTTCAGTAAAGTACTTAAACGTGGTTCTTATAAAATGCTGATGATATAAAATACACTTGATCCTCTTAGGGTTTGCAGCTTCCACAAAAATGTTGCAAAATAATGGAAACCAGTATATTCTTAGTTATAACCTACTGGGTTTATTTTTTTAATAAAAAAAAGTTAGCATATTGTTGAAATTATATCGCAGTTATGTTTTGCTGTCTGTGCATTAACTTTCCTGCAACCTGGGTGAGACAGACTATTTTCTAATATAAATATGCATTTTGTGGTGATTTGATGTTGTAGAAATATTCTTCAGTTTACTGTAGTTTACTGTGGCTTAACCTTCTGTAGTTACCTTTTTCCTTTACCTTGATATTCTGGTTTTATTAATAAATAACTGAGTTAGCACTATTAAAAAAAGGTTTAGGTGAGAGTTATATATTGAAACTATTGCAGTATATAAACTACCGTACCTGTTAGTAGGTTGAGAGTACTGAATACATTATTGGGATTTTGCTATGATAGAATTTAAACAAACAGCTTTAATTAGTAGATTTCTTGTGGCTATTACTCCAGAGGTACTACATGCTTACATTTTAGCATAAATGCACCCCCCCCCTTGTATTTTACCTCATGTACACAGAGATTCAATCAAGAGACATAAATACAATAATGTTTTAATCGTTTTCTTTCACTTGTCCATTTTATTACTGTCACATAGTGGCAGTAATAAATGACACATTACTGTCATTTAGACTGCCTGAAATAATATATAATACATTTGTGTACACTAAAATAGCGAGCTATATTAATAAGAAGAACAGGTAATGATCAACATTTATAAATTGGGAACGTTCTGTACTGTGAGGGTGTCAAATGTCTTGTGGGTGTGCGATATCTACGTGGTATAAGTGGTGGTGTTTGATTTTGTGAGTGTGCCTGTCAGGGGGCATATAGTCTCCCTCAGAAAGACAAATGTCCTTTTATATACTATCTTGGAAAAACATAACTTTTGGAATTTAAAATCATCTATTTCCTATGCGAGATTCAAAGAGTTGGTTTATAGAGATAAGAGTCAGCTCTACTGATAGAAATACACTGATGTACATTTCTAGCTTGATCCAAAGTATTTAATTTATTTAATCTTCACACTAAATTAAGAGCTCAGAGGGAAAACAAACCATGTGTAAAGAATTTTTAGAAATCCTCTGGACATATACCTTTAAAATCATAGTGAGATCTCATGGAAGAGGCTAGGTAACAAAAACAAGTTGTTACTGAGGTGAGCATTTAAATGCAGCTACAATACATAATCCTATTTTTACTCTTATTGAAGACAAATAATGTTATGCTGTTGAAAGAACCATTTAATATGGTGCTGTACTGATATATTATTTCTCCCCTCAGTAATTTTTTTCAACATTCTATCCATCCTTTGTTAGTTTCATTTTTTTTTTTACAAATAAAGCAGAAAACCATTTACAATCATTTTGAATCTTTTTCTGGAACATTTTACCCACAGTAAATGAAGCATCCATATTCCAAAAGGAAGTGTTAATTATGTCCAAAGTTATTTTAGATAAGATAAAGAGCTCTTCATAATTTTTAAAATAAATTAGCAAAAAAAAAAACCTATGAATATAGAATAAGATAAGATGTGGTTACTGTTCATTCATATAGAGCAATGCTTTTATTATATGTTGTATACTATTTGTATTATATTATGATTCTTAGTCTTAGGAAATATTTTCCCACCCTCCTTTTGATTTCAGAAATTCATTAAACAGATGTGGCCATTAAAAAAAAACTGTTTTTTTTAAACATAACTTTTTGAAAGCTGTTAACTTTTTTATCAGCTATTTGAATGTTTATATTTGTAAGATCCTGAAAGTGTAACACTTGTATACACTTACTATTCTCTATTATGTGATTTTAGATCTAAATACAGTACTTTTATTATGCTGGGATGAAATGCAACATATGCTGTCTATGTGTTTGTGTATATGTATGATATTAAAAGGCAAAGCTGAGATACTGCACACCATAAGCAATAATTTACTTGTCTGGATGAATGTCTCAAAGAAACACATGAAATTCTCTATAATTTTGCTCCATGAAATACAAATTATTCTTAGCTCATTTTATTCTTTTCTTTAAATGGATTTACTGTATCAATTGCCTTTTAGTATTTTTTTTAAAACATATATAATGATGTTACAAATATTTACCACAATATGGCTCTTACATGATCCGTCTGTGAGCTGGATTGTGACTATTATTTCTCTCATTGTTGTAATGTTTGCTTGTGTGTTGGTTAAGAAGGACTAAAAAAGTGAATTTTCACTCAGGCATCTGGTGGCATCCTAAAAGCAATTGAAAATGATAGGTATTATGTTCATTTCATGCAATTATCACTTTTAACATGTTTATTCTTGGTATAGATGGACACTTTCTCACTATCTGATTCCTTCTGAAAGACATGGAAAGCCTAAAATACATTCATAATCTTGATTGATGATGTGTCATCAAGTCAAGGTCAACCTTATTGACTATATAGAAGCTTTTCATTATTAATGTCCACAGTCTACTCTCAACCATTTTAACAGGACTTACATTGGAATGGACCGTAGTGGACAGCAGTCATAAACTAGACCTCATTATTTAGCATATGATTTATTCCCACTATTGGTGTCTTTATTACCCTGCTAGACGCAATAGCATAAACTCAAATTAATTTCAATTTTAATAGTTGCTCTTGGTGCGACTTAACTGGAAATANGCCACATGGCTTGGGGTGGTGGTCATGTGACTGAGTGTGCATGAGTGATGTCAAGTTGGCCATACCTGCCCGGTCACATGACTGCCAAGCCACGCCCACATAGGCCACACCCATAGAACAGGTTCTAAAAAAAATTGAAACCCACCACTGGGCAGTTGGTGCGATGATAGTCAGAGGCTGATGGGATAGAAGCATGGAGTAAGAGCAAGTGCAGTGAAGGGAAGAGGAGCAGGGTGGGTGAATAATCTTTGTTTCATTTCAAACAAGCCTCTGCTGGAAAGGAGAAAAGGTGATGAGATGCTTCTCTTTACCACTTTTTCTTGTCTCTACCAAACCTCATCACTAGCTGGAGAAGGAAAAAACACTATGGAGATGGCAATTGAAGTTGTGATGGGAATAGTAACACTTTCTACAAGATCAGTCTTTGTATCTTATTCTAAAAATAAGACAAAAAGAAAAAGTTCGTTGCTAGGGAGATCCTGTTCTTTCCGACAAATAAAGCAAACAGGAATATGAATTTGCATCTTGTTTCCTGATGGAAACAACTACTTTCTTGCCAGATCACTTTGATTCTGCTTGTTTCATTGGAAAGCTAGAGGTAGACTCCATTGTGAGGATGGATTAAATTATTATCACACCGTCTCAGGATCAGGGCAAGGAGAGTTTTTGGATGAAGTCATAAAGTAGGGCATTTAATTCTCTGTGCTACCTTAAACAATGTGGAGAACACATAAATACCTATATTCAGTGAAGTAAAAAAATGGATCCACTTTGTTTTCTCCTTTACAATAGCCTTTAAAATTTTTGTCAATGTGTTATATTCTATTTATAGGACAACCAGGACCTGTGGGCAGTAAAGGTAGCAAAGGTAGCAAAGGACTGCCAGGACACAATGGTGTTAGAGGATCTCCAGGTTTGTACATTCTTAGACCCTTCCTTTTCTGAACATTCCCCATTTTTCACTGTTGAAAAACGCAACCATTTATTTTATTTTTATCTAGTTTTATCTATCCAAATAGAGAGCATGAAAGTCTAAAAACCTATTTTATCTCTTCCAGGCTCTTTTATCTCTTATCTGAAAGGGAAATGTTTCTCGTGCATAATACAAGTTGAGAAGCAGAGGTGGCTTATGACCATAATATTGCAAAATGCAATCCATCTGCGATATATCATGTTGCATACATGCACAGATACAGAGCTTTGTAATCTTTAGAAGCAGTGAAACCAAAGTAATTGAACATGCGGTATACTGCTTTTTGATAGATTTCCATACTGTCTTCTTTGGTTTGATATCATAGCTATTAATGGGAATGGATCTCTTGTGGGTGGATATGACAGATGAACTGGACACTACTGGAATTGTTTCTGGTATGCAGTTGCTGATCAAATTTTTGCACTGCTCTTCTTTCTTTAACCTTCTAAATATTATCTAGATACCACCAGGGAAAAGAATATGGAAAAAATTAGTGTTGGTTGCTTCTTGCTGTTGTCAACTTGCAAGAAGGCAAATAAAGCTGTTTCTTCTTTGGGTTTTATCAATGAACACAAAAGATATGAGAAGTAAGAGCATTATTATTAGGCACAGGGGGATCAAGTAGAACAGCTCTGGGTTGAGTTTCAGGACGTTACCCCCGGGGATGTGGAAAAGGCCATGAGAGCTGTAAGTTCCTCCCCCTGTGTTCTGGTTCCGT